CCGTCTCGTTCAACCGGTCGTTTGCTGCCCCTGAAGTATATGTACGTCTTTTCGAAGTACGATCCTTTTACCTGTGCTACTATCAGTAAAACAATTTCGAAGGCTTTGAAATGCAATAAAGTGACTTTGATAGTGTTTGTGAAGGATTTACTTATTTCAGAGAAAGACTTGATTATTTTTTGCTTTTTCTTCCCACACCTTAACAATAGCAAACGCGAAATTTGTGAAAAGCGGTGGTACTGGGGAGTGAATCCCGTAACTTTTTTAAACAGCAGTTAAAGGGTTAATCAGAAAGAGAAATAAAAAATGTTGCGTGGAACGTCAAGCGATGGAAGTGAAGCTTATTTGGCGACGTTGGAACATTGATTATTTGCCCTAATATTCCAAACTGGCCGTGTGCATCTCTCAATCGCCTAATTTTCAGGAAAGGTATTCGTGGCGAAATGAGTCTTTCTGATAACAAATCCAAAGTAGGAATATGTACTGGAATTTCTGGGTATAAACCATTATAATATTGTGACGAATCTGTACGGAGCCTTTCCACTAATCTTCTTGGGCGTCTTTCTGGGGAATATAAATTAGCGTTTATTTCCAATCAACTCCAAAAAGAAGTATGGGATATTTGAATTAGATAAGGTATTTAAGTCGAGGGTTGCGAGATAGCAAGAGAGATGATGGTAGGCTATTGAGCCACACAATAACGTTAATTGCAAGACTAGAAGATTCAAAGAGATTAGATTCGTGAAGACGTCGTGCTGCTAGACGTACCAGAAAGCTGATATAAGCCAGCGGTAAATATAATTCACGTACGCTTAAAGTAAGCGTCAGTTTGAGCTACTTAGTTAAAGTGAATGACAGTTAAGAATTCGAATACGCGTGCGTTTCTCGGATCTCCTATTTCGGTAAATCTTACTTGAGTTGAGCTAGATTAGTAATTCATTGTATTCTTAGTAATTTAATTTAATATAAAGGCAAATCCCTTTAAACGACGTAACATTATTGTATTATATGTTATCAGAGATTTTTGAGGAAATTATAACAAAATAAATAATATTATTATTCAAAATGGCTCTTGGTGGTTCCTTGCCTCAAATTAATCTTGGTGTTCAAGGTGTGACCCAGGGGGGTCATCACAATTTGATAAATTTGCTATACTTTTCCGACTTAAACTTTGTTGGCAATTGTAGCATGCTTTAATGTCTTCTAAATTAACACTCCCGGTTAAATATTTCTGTACTGAGCAACAGGATTTCTCAAATAATCTCTAAACCATAATCTATCACAAATCGAACTCCCATGACCAAAATGATTATCAATGAATCGCCTTTGAGAATCTTTGTGAGCATTTTTATGAGAATCATAGTCTTTGTAAAGTAGCCTTTGTAAATTAGCGATTCACATGCATCCGTTCCAGCATGCACTAGACTTGTTGAGGGCTGTGTAGTTGATGTGGCACAGGGTGGTTCCCAAAGTCCATATTAATTTGTGCTGTCATTAGAAGAGTCAATAGCATTCCCATCCCTTAAAAATGGCATTAAGAAAGTATTTTGCAAAGTTGTTTTCATGCACTATGTTCTCTCATACATTCTGTTGGAGATTTGATTTGACAGTAGCACTTGAGGAATTTGCATTATTTTTCTATTTTTTGTCACTTTTTCCGACTGGACTTGCTGCTGGTTTTTCTCTTTTTTATTTCACGAAACTCTTTTCCTCTTTATGCATCTGATTGAGGCATTCTGACTAGAATTAATAATAATTCAATGCAAATGAAAATTAAAAAGTAAATTAGCCGCCGAACACATCGCCATGTAGCCATCAATCTAAGGAAATATTTCAAAAAGGCACGCTTTTGCTGCGAGAGCCATTTTGTCTACACCGTAATGCACACACTGCAGTTCATGCCACTGTTGATAGTTGTTCCCGAGTCTGAGGTAAAAGGACCCCCAATAGGAAAGTGGGCAAGTTGACCAATCAGAGAGGTGGGCAATCATCCAACTTTTTCACGGATATAACGCAAATCATGTGGTGTCCACCCTCCTTTTTTCTACCGCTCGCTATCTCCTTACCACTTCGACAATTCAGAGGGATAGGGAGAAAGACTACTTCCATTCACTTTTTCACCCTAACGCAAAAATGGGCAAATTTCTCATTCACTAGAGCCCAAAGAACTTTCACTTCAAGAAAGTGCACTTTGATAAGCTTTCCTATTAAAATACTAAATTATGATGTCATCATTTATTTTAAGTCAGTGACTGTCTATAAATTTTACACTCGAAAACAATTCGAGTGCTATTGGTGACGGACCTAGTAATTTCGAGTTGCAGTCAAGTGAGAAGGACGGTACCTGAATAGGCCTCCTACTCTCCAATCTTCGACACCACTCCAACGTAAGTTATTTGAATCACAACAAATTTAACAAAACCAGCTCCTCTACTCGGTAGATCTTTAACAGCGTCCTGACACCACAAACTCTTGATTATGATTACAAGACCAGAGGAGAGTTGGAAGGATATTGAATATTTTTAGATGATGTCGATACATGAAAAATTCACTTTCTTTAATAGCTTGAAAGGAAAGTTAGGCCATGTCATTTAGCTGTCTCCTATATCATTAAATCGTAGAAAAGAAATGTGTAGTAAACATAAAATTCCCATCAGTCCATTTTATATCACAAAAAAGCATGAAGTTAAATAAGTGTTCAAGTACGATACAAATAGTTGATGTCTCTTTTTCCCAAATAGGTCTCTTTATAAAGATGTGTAATATGTATCTCCTGGAATATTGTGGTATATATGTTAGTAATGGAATGCGGTAATACATTTAGTGCTATATTTGCAACATATTTATATAGTTTGATAAAAACGTTTAGAAAAGTCTCCGATCAATTTTTAAATACAGATTTCTTTCAAAACCGTTCAGCTCTCAGAAATAACTCATTTCTCATTTCCTTACGAAAACAACCGTAAAAAAAAAAACGACAAATGTGGCGGAATTACCAAAAAAGGGGGAAAAATTAACATCTTCCGTTATTCATGCTGCGGCTGGATAAAACTAGAGCTGTAATTAATTGTTCAAACAGATCTAAATTTTGGCAATAGAACATTTAATTTAGCTCCTAAGCGTCATTAATATGTCCAATTTCTAGAGAACTTCTTACTGAAAAATATTTGTCGTTAATTTAAAATATTTACATGGGCACTGCATTACATATCCTATAAATCAAAGCGTACTTCAAATACAAATATTAGTATCAGCTCTATTTACATAAACACAAGAAAGCCAGGTTCAAACATATATCATACACATGGACGCTAAATAAGTTTTTTCAATTAAATATTTTGACAATATTATCTGTAATTCTTTTTCTACTTTAGTATTTAATCTCTTTATATATTGTTTTAAATACATTAAAAATAATTTTTGCATTGTTGTTAATTTAAGAAGGAGGGAGCATTTTAATTAACTTAAGAGGGAGAGGGGAGGGAAAGAACACACACACTTCGCAGTTTTGGTCATCTTAATATTTGATAAAATTTTAGAGATAATTTTATGAGCTATTGTATTTAAGTGCTTCAAGGCATTAAAATTAAGGTATATGTTTGAAACATTTAGTATCAATGTAATATTTTCTGTTGTGCACAAAGTGTGCTGATTAAATTCCTGAACTGAACTAACGCAACGATATGAGTAAAAAACCCATTCTTACGAGCAAAGATTTCTGAGAGCTGCATATTTGTCTACGTGATTGTATACTGTTTTTAATATGTGTTAAAAATTGTGAAAATATGCATTGAAATTAAGCCGTTACATATTTTTGTGCATCCTGTTTGTTCTAAAACCAATGTCTATTTAAAGTGAACTTGAATGTTTTTTACAAGATTTTCTTTAACTTTCAATGTAAAATGTTCGGGTGGAACCTTGCAACTCAATTTTGAAGCTGATGTCTTCAACTGATAAACTGAAATTTTGTATTCACGTTTAGTTTGGATGAAAACGAATGTTTTGACCATTTATATTCCGATATCGCAATTACATAAAAAGATATTAATTAAAGTAATTTGTTCGGGTGGATTCTTGCAACTCAATTTTGAAGCTGATATTTGCAACAGATTAAGCTGAAATTTTGGATGCACGTTTAGTTTGGATGATAATGCATGTTTTGTACATATATATTCCAAGATCGACCTAGTTACAGTAACGATCTTGTTCAGGAGTTAAGGGGTCACAGGGGTGTTAGATTTCTCTGGAGGTCTGAAAATATCAACAATTTTCAAACAGGTATAATTTCTCTAAATTTAAGTTAAATAATTCGAATTTTTTACACATTACTTATAAAGGAATGGGGCTTCAGAAAAGTATAAATCGTTTAAAATATAATCTTAATTTTAAAAATTATAAGCATATGAAAATAAGAAACTTTTCCATAAGAAATATTTATTAAGTTTTACGTCGCGCATGCTTTTTTCTAAAAGAGTAGGTTTAATTACTAGCTATAAGTTGATTTATAAAGACAAATGTATTTTTTATACTTTGTAGCTACTTTTATATAAATAGAATAATAACTTACATATTTTAGGAAATAAAAAATATGCATTTTTAAAAATATTTAAAAATTGCAATATTTTACAAATATTTTGAAATACAAAAGATATATAATACTAAAATTAGGTAGGGTTTAAAGCGTATGATGCATTGTGTGTATAATTCTGTAAAGTTTTATACATCAGAGTCTAATATTTTTGAAAATAGCGTGCGCAAAGCAAAAAATACTTAATATTTATTATGGGATTTTCATATGCTTATGACTTTAAAAATTATTTTATACTTTTCTGAAGCTCCATTCTATTTTAAATAATACGTAAAAGATTCGAAACATTTAATTTAAATTTAAAATAATTATAAACGTTTGAAAATCGTTTATATTTTCAGACCTCTAGAGAAATTTAACACCCCTGAGACCTCTTAAGGGGAGTATGTTTACAATAACAAAAGTGTCGACCGGGAGCGAAGCTCAGATGGTAGAGCGCTAACTTAGCATGCTAGAGTTACGGGGATCGATACTTCGTGCCTTCAATCATTATTTTTTCTTGTAGAATATTTTTGAAATTCGTTTTATTTGTACAACGAGATATTTTAAAATTCTTCCACTCTGTATACGTACAAAATATGCTATATTATTATTACAAGCTTCTTTTTTTATTTAACTTACAATGTAAAATGTTCTGGTGGAATCTTGCAATTCAATTTTGAAGATGATGTCTTAAACCCAGTGTTTCTCAAAGTGTGGGGCGCGCCCCCCGGGAGGGGGCGAGCGTATCAAAAATTTAAAGATTTTTTTTTTAAAAAAATCTTGAAAGAGAAGTAAAACAAAATGCTTTCTTCCATAATAAAAAAAAAAATACACACAACACTGAAATAATTTATGTTTATTATTTGGCTTTTTTCCGTCATCAAATAGCTATCTTTGATCCCAAAACCAAATTAAAGAGAAAAAAACATTTTGTTTTATTTGCTGTATTTCCTCAATGAGAGATTTTTTTATTATGTTTTAACATAAAATATTACTCGTTAAAAGAAAAACGAAACCCAGACCCTGAGAAAAATTCTAAGAAGATAAACAATTCACCACTGTAATTATTATTGAAATACTGTACATTAGTTGTAGAAAAAGAAAAGGAAGTAATGATTAACTTTTCAGCCAGGCTGCATAGTACGTTTGCTAATCATTTGATTGACCTTCAATCTTATGGTATGGTTATTATCAATATTAGTTCACTCCCATCTTTTATGCGTTTGCTTTTCGCTTAGGGAAATTGTAAATAATTGAGTTTTGCGATATTTGGAAAAGAATTGATTGGTCTAACATTTCTGTAGGAAAATTGAAAAGTGTCTGATTTGCGTCCTTTATTATGGTCTTGTACTTTTGAATCATTTTAGTTTAGTTTTATTGGATTTTTTCTCAAATCATCAAAGAATTGAATAGTCCTTGAAAGAAGGTAAGTATACTTTCTATAAATTAAAATATTCACTGGAATTCCGATTTGTATCGTGTACAGTAAAAATAATTATTAACAAATGATTGGGGTGACTGAGTCCCCCCGCACTACCATTAGCGTTAGTATCGAGTGCACGCCTGCTCCCGGGTTAAAACATTTTGAAGTCTTCTCCTTTTAAATGTTAAAAAGTAACACAATTATTCTTCATCGGAATTTTATATTCTTTTTCATAATTTAACATTAGTTCTAAATGCTAATTGTGTGAGGTTTAAAATTACAGTTCTTTTAAACAGTTATTTACAATTATAGCATTTATCTAAAAAATAATAATTTTACATTTTGGTATACAATGTCGTGCACACAGTTTTACTCTTCTTACAGTTCAGCTATTATATCAAGAATAATGTTTTATTTTTTTAAAAAATGAACTCGTGCGAAGAGTCGGTGTTTCAGCCAGTATACGTTTGATGTATCAGTACTGAAGAAGGTATTTTATAAATAATTTCTTATTACTGAATTTGGCTGCGGTAGCTGAGTGGTATAGGTATCGGATCGTGGCTTGCCTTGTCACGAGTTCGAGCACCACTAAAGACCCGCCGTGTAGGGCAGCGATGCACGTTAAATCTGTTGAGAGTTGAAACGTTTTCCCGTTGGTGTGGTGTGGTAGTTAGGAGAGAGGGGTGCCAGCTCAGGTGCATCCACGTCACTTGAACATGGTTCAGAATTACGAGGTCCGTCGTCAAAAGCCCTCGTGCAGCTAAACAGTGCGACGTTAATATTCAATCAATCAATCTTATTACTAAATTAAGAACAAGTTTAATAATTATTAGGGACTTCCACGGGCTTGTCTTATAGAGGAAAGTTTTTCAAAGGAAGGTTTAATATCAGAAATTGACACTTAAAGAGTTATTTTGCTATATTTAGCTGAGATCTATATTTTGTCTTCAAGGCATCCACTGCAGAAAATCCGGTTTGAAAAAGGTAGGATGTTGAAAATGGTAATAGTATACGAAGTGCTTTTGTTTTCAGTACAGATAATTCCTCATCCACCTCTACCCCAAATTCAAAGAGCGATTTATTACAAAATTGCCTTTTAATTTTTCACTGGATGTGAAATCTATGAAGATTTCTTCTTCGGAAGTTGAGAGCCCTTCTGGAGTATCTTGAAATAGATCCCTAATCCACTTGTAACTTGCTACCAAGCTGTCCTCATCCAGAAAATACTTTTTAAAATTCTTTGCCAACATAGCTAAATGATTTTACATGTTTTAAAAACAACTTTCACATGTTGTTCTACAGATTTAATTGTACAGATTTGTATTTGTAACACATATCGAGCTGGGGCTTTTTTTCCATCATTTACTTCAGTAGTGGTAAATCCAAAATGTAAGTATTTTTGAGAAGATAGCCTTGATTTAATTTTCGGAACTATGCTCGTTTGTCTGTGTACTTGTTGATTCTTTATTATGGTCGCATGTTTGCTTACGACTTAAAAATGTATGTATGATATTGTTTTAATCTACTGCCGTAAATACTTAATTACCGTGAATTACAATTAACGTGGAAATTTAAAAAAATGTACATTCAAGCTAGATTCGGTAGCTATAGGAGTATCGAGTCGACCAAAACTGACTGGAATTGTACGAGGAAAAGCATTTTTACATGTTTTGCGCAGACGTCCGATAGGTTGCCTAGACTCACGCAAACGTACCCTATAATGCCAGATGTGATGGATATGATAGAGAGCGACATTGACTAGACTATTTTTCTAATGACATTTGTACTTTGAGAAATGAATGCTTAAGGAAATAAATCTTTATTTAAATACATCATTTTGCGATCTGTTCCAATTTAAAAATTAGAGAAAGAAAAATAACATATTTCTAAGTAATATATATATTTTAAGTAATTTTCTTAATATATATATATATATATATATATATTAAAAGTTACATATACACAAAATTTAATATACTTATCGTATTAATTTGTACGGTTTATAATTAAGATCGTATTGTAACTTTAGCGTCTCTCTCTTAAAGTGCATTTTTATTGCAGTAAATACATTATTGTTTTACGGGGGGGAGTGGAGACAAAAATTATGATTGAAAATTGGGTCGCCAGTATTGAAAGTTTGAGAAACACTGCTTTTAATGTATGGGTGGTGCACAGAGTATTTTATGACTAATTAATTAATACTAAATTAAGAACAAGTTTAATAATTATTAGCTACTTCCATGGGCTTGTCTTACAGAGCAAAGTTTTTGAAAGGAGCTTTAAGATAAGAAATTGACCCTCTGAGTTCATTTTCTATATTTAGCTGATATCTATATTTTGTCTTCTAAGCAACCAACGCATTTTGTAATATGTTCCAATTTAAAAATAAGAGAAAGGAAAAATAACTTAGTAATTATCCTATTACTTAACTTTTTTTGCTTAAAAGTAACATATACAAAATTTAATACTTATGTCATGAATTTGTACGGTTTATAATAAATATTGTTGCTTTATCGTAAAAGTGAATTATTATGTATAAGGGGGGAGGCGCAATAAAAATTGTGATTGAAAAGGGGGGCGCCAGTATTGAAAGTTTGAGAGAGAAGCACTGCTTCAACCGATTGAGCTGAAATTTGGTATACACGTTTAGTTTGGATGACAATGCCTGTTTTAACTATTTATAGTCCGATATCGTAAATAGTTAAAATATATTAATTAAATTAATTTGTTCGGGTAAAATCTTGCAACTCAAATTTGAAGCTGATGTCTTCAACCGATGGAGCTGAAATTTTGTATGCATGCTTAGTTTGGATGACAAATGCATGTTTTGACTATTTATAGTCCGATATCGCAATTAGTTAAATTTTTTTAATTAAAAACCTTTTACCCCTATTAGATTTTATTCTGCTTAGCAGCTTTTCGGATTGAGCTTAAAGAATTCGAATTTTTCGACCTTTTTTAAAAAATTATTAATATTCATAAGATTTTAAAAGTATCTTAACTTTTTTTAAACGAGTAATTATGCCAAGAATAAAAAAAATTGGCAGAAGGAAGTATAGTAGCAATCAACATAAAAAGTCTAAATCGACTGAAGAATTGCTTTTGAATTCCGTGGAAAGTGCTTCTAGGAGAAAAATTAAAATACCGGATTTACTAAAATAACAAGATTCTCAAAATGTAAACATAATCGTTGAACTGGATTTATTATCTTCCCTTATGAAAAATCTCTTATGTTGTAAACATTGCTGTTCTTCAGAGAAAATTGAGCTGAGAGAAGATTTAAAAAGTCGTAGAGGTTTAGCTGTGAGTTTGGAAATAATTTGTCACAGCTGTGGAGAATCGACGAGTACAATGTCATCAAAAATATCAAATAAATGTTATGATTTTAACCTAAGATTGACATATGGAATGAGAGCTATTGGAAAAAGTGGAGCTGCTGCTCAGAATATTCTGTGGGCTCATGAATTTGCCTCCACCACCTGCAAAGTTTGAACGCCATAATTCTTTGTTTTTAAATGTTTTAAAAACAATTAGTGAAAGACTCGATGAATGCAGCTGTTCACGAAGCAGTCATAGCGAATGATAATAATCAAATATAGCTGTGGCTGTGGATGGCACATGGCATAAAAGAGGCTATTCTTCATTGAACGGAGTTGTATGTGCTACGTCTGTTGAGAACGGAAAGGTTATCGACTTTGAAGCTCTCACAAAATATTGTTCTTCATGTAAGGGTAAAAAAAAAACCCATGTGAAAATTGTGATAAAAATTACGAAGGATTCAGTGGGGAATGGAATGTCGGGGGTATTAAGTATATTTCAGCGATCTGAAACATCACGGAAAGCATGTTATACGCAGTATCTTGGTGATGGGGACTCAAAAGGATTTCTTACTATAAAAGAAGCAAAAGTATATGGCGACACACAAGTTGAAAAATTAGAATGTGTTGGCCATGTGCAAAAGCGTATGGGCACAAGGCTGAAAAACATTCTAAAAATGAGCAAAGGCATTAAGCTATCAGATGGGAAAAATATTTCGGGACGTGGACAGCTAACGCTTAAAGAAGTGGACTCAATCCAACA